ACTTTTACTCAAGTTATATTCCTAAAGGAGACTTTAACTTTTACCAAAGTATTTTTTGGTAAGATACTTGTACTTTTACTCATGTATCACTTTGTGGTACTTTATACAACACTGTCTGCTAATAGCAGGTTAGCAGGTGAGTGGAACTGTGCCCACCACTGATAACGATAAGCCCCTCCTCCCCGACAGGTGTGTCCCCCTCCCCCACCACCCTGCAGGACAGGTACAGCTCTCCCCCCACAGGTGGGTTTCGCCGCCGTCTGTTCGTGGAGCCGGTGGAGAGCGAGCCCGGCACCACCTCCACCAGCAGCACCGCATCGTCCTCCATCATCGTCACAAAGACCGGCCCGCCCGGTCTCATCGCCGCCATCCCACCTGGGCAGACGGTGGTGGCGACTGCCACCGTCACCGCCAACAACTGGCAGACGCTGCCCTTACCTGTGCAAGGTGAGGTGCCGACTTTAACCAGGACGGGTCGGGGACACCTGGACTCTGACCTCTGACCTCTCTGCAGGGATGCCCAGTGAGATCCGAGGCATCACTTTCATCCCGGTGCAGGTGGGCGGAGCCACGCTGCAGCCGCTCTCTGCACAGACGCTGACCGGCGCCCTCGCCATCCAATCAGCTGTCAGTAAACCCGCCCCCAAAGCCGCCAGCAGCCCTCTGAGGAAAGGCTCCTTGTCTCTGTTCTTCAGGAAGGTCTGTCTCACCTGTCCACACACACTCAGGACCACCCTCACCTGAGTGAGTCCTGATGATGTCACCTGTCCTCCCTCAGGTGTTCCACCTGGCCAGCATCCGTCTCAGAGACCTCTGCTCCAAACTGGACATCTCCCCAGACCTGAGGAGGAAGATCTGGACCTGTTTCGAGTATTCTCTGGTCCACTGTCCCGACATGATGAAGGACCGGCACCTGGACCAGCTGCTCATGTGTTCTGTTTACATCATGACCAAGGTTCTGTCCACACATCTGCTGAGGACGTCCAGTCCTGTCCTCGTTCAGTCAAACCGTCTCCGTTTGATCCTAACTCACAGTTTGGTTCCATCAGAACCTGAAGCAGCTGCAGGCTTGGAGACAGACTCTCACAGTCTGTGTTTATGTCCACAGGTTGGACTGTAGTCATAGTCGTTTCTCTTTCCACCTCAGACCACGTCTCACTCACGGTCACCTGGTTTGTCTCCACCTGCAGCTCCTGGTTCTGATTGAATCTGCTGCAGGAAGACAGATTTCTGTCAGAGCAGGCGTCAAACACACCTGTACAGCTGGAAACTCTGGAAACTACCGTATTTATTTGTGTATAATACGTAAAATTTAATTCATAAAATCATCTGTAAAGTTGGGGGGTAGTATTATACTTGGATAAATATTTTTACTTATGTATTTTAACTGAAATATCGGCAAAATTATTGAGTCCGCAAATGAACACGTCGTAAAAATCAGTTGAAACGAGCTCACCTCTGACACTCCTCTGTGCTTCAGAGTGAGATAATAACAGATCCAGGCAGGAGACATGATGTGAAAAAAGGGTAAAAAGCAGTCCTGCAGCTCAGTAATGATAACAAACTAATGACATTAGTGTGTGACCGAGCCGCTGCTGGAACAACAACAAACACATGATCGTCTGTAATGGTTTGCTGTCTACCGGTGTTCTGAAAAAGTTTGTATCCCTGAAAAAACATTTCCCTACCAGAGGGGGCGCTC